TGTGTGTGTGTGTGTGTGTGTGTGTGTGTGTGTGTGTGTGTGTGTGTATGTATACAGGGTCATAGATTAAAAGTTGGAAGGGATCTAAGAGGTCTTTTAGTGTAACCTCATTATTTTACAGATAAGGAATCTGAGGTCAAGAGAGTGATACAATTTACCTTAAGTTGAATGAACACTGAGATAAAAATGGCAAAGCTGGGGTTGGAATCCATGTGTCCTACCTCCAAATCTAATGCTCTTTCACTGAATCATACTGCCTCCTAAATCACAAAATTGAGCTGATTAGGCACATTACAATATGTTATATAATTTCAGTTGGCCTCACTACAGTCAGATAATCCTTTTATTCCTACCTAATTGATTTCCTCTTTCGTTCCCCACAAAAGCTATACTAAAAATTTCCTCCTTAAGCCTCTCACAACTTCCCCACCACTTGCTCAGCTGAGGTCCTTGCCTCTTGATTTACTGATGAAATTAAAGCCACTAGCTAAGCTCCGCCTTTCTTCATCTTAAAACCCTGAGACATAAATAACCCCCTCCTCTACTTCTCCATTCCTCCAGTGTCAGATAAAAAGATGGGTCTTTTCACTAAAGCCAGCTCCTCTCCCTGTGGCCTTTGATATCCTCTCTTCCTATTCAAGCAGCTTGTCCACTCAATCATGTAAAGATCAGTTGCAGGAACTCTACTTTTAACCTGGAGTAGACTTAGGAGTGGGCATGATAGTTGTTTTAAGTATTTGTAGGACTCTCTTAGGGAAATTTTAATAGATTTATTCTTCTTCATCCCGAGAGCAGAAGTAGAAGTAGTTGGGGAATTTTTAGAGGGACAGTTTAGATTTGAGGTAAGGAAAACCTTCCTTAAAATTGAGAGTTGACCAAAAGTCAGTTGGGTTTCCTGGAGTGGTAGTTGGAATGTTCTTAAGCAGATAGCCCTTATGTAGTATGATGTAAATAGGATTCCTGTTTTAATACAGTTTGGACTGTATAGCCTTAGACATCTCTTCCTACTCTGAAATCCTTTGAACTTGTCTCTAACACTTACTAATATGACTGTGATCAAGTCATTTATCATAATTCTCTGAGCTTCAGTTTCCTCATCTGTAAAATAAGAACAATACTTGTACTGTCTGCCCCACAGGGTTGTTGTTTTATAAACTTCAAAGTATTACATAAATGTAAATCATTGTTAACAATAATAACTAAAATTACCTCCAAAAAGCTTTCTGTGACTATTAAAGTGAATAACTGATTAATAATAATCAAAAGTGTTCTCTTAGAGTAAGTGATTTTTTGATCGTTGTCTCTGAGGAGGTGTAGGATGTGAATTTGATAGTCAGGAATTTCAAGACATAGGAAAACAGAAAGGAGGCAGCGTGGCATATAAATATACTGCCGATTTTGGTATCAGAAAGACCTAGGTTTGAATCTTGGCCCTGCCATTTACTGTGAGGCAGCAGTCATAAAAATGTGTGAGTTGTGAAGCAGCCAACAATAGGTTTGTTTGACTAGAATAGAGGGAATAAATTCAAGATTAAGAAGACTTGAAGCTTGTGAACTGTTAGGTGTAGGGTTGTGTACATGATGGAGGATGCTGAATGTTATGAGTTTGGGGTTATAGAATCATATATTTAGAGCTAGAAGCAACCTTAGAGATCCTCTAACCTTTTTATTTTACAGGCCGGTAAGTGAGGCCTGCAGGAGTTAAGTGGCTTGGTCAGCATCACACGGGCTAATGACACCCAGGAACCAAAGAGAGACCATCTGATTCCAAATGCATTATTCTCTTTTAAATTGGGGGCAATTCACTCTGGCAATGGGAATTAGTCTGGATGATATTTGGGAATGGGTAGGTGAGGGGAGTGTTGTTTAGGTACTCTCATTTTAGACTGATAACTGATTTTGAAAGGTGAAGAATTAAAGGATCATATAGTCTCTGTTTTGTTGTTAACTTAGTGATTAAAAGCTGACTGTAGGCTACACTCTTTTCCTCTGCCTAAGAGCCAGAAAAAGTAACAGTAAATTAAAGTTTTAAACTTGTAACCATATTACCAGTATGGCTTTTAGAAACTACTCAAGGTTAGGAAATCCTCACTGTCCGTAATAAAACATAGTGAAACAGAGAAGCACTTGCTGAGAATTACTATTATTATTTTAACTGATGGTCTTTCTTAGGAGAAAAACATTATCCCTAATAATTTAACTCAGATTTTTAGATGAGGCTGACAATAATTGTCAGGTTTTTTTAATTGATCTTTTATTTTTACATGTCATTTTTTGATATAGACCCTACCAATTCCCAGTGAGCATCCTCCTTAAAGAAAAAACACTAAGCTGAAGCAATCAATACAGCAATCACATCTGATAATGTTTGTAACATTGCTAACCTACAGTACTTACGTGTTTATTGACCAGCGGGAGGTGGGTTTCATAATAATAATGGCAGCTAGCATTTATAAGGTTTGCAAACACATTACATATACATTATCTCTTGATTCTGCAACCTCCCTGGAAGGTAGTTGCTATTATTATCCTCCCTTTTACAGATAAAAAAACTGCCAAAGTTGACAACCAGGATCATACAGCTAAGTAAATGTCTGAGGCAGAATTTGAGCACATCATACTGGTAACTAGATACAACATTAGCTACCTGGTGTGCTGTTCTCCAGGGCCAAGACGGATACATTACAATCACTTGGAGTTTGGCTTTGTTTCAGTATTGTTTTCCTGTGTGTTATTGTAGTTATTGTGGCAATTGTGTGTTCTTCTAACATTACCCTCCTTCAATTTATATGACTTTTTCTGCATTTCTCTGAATTTTAATTGGTATTTAGTTTTACAATGCAATGATATTCATATACCAGTTTGATTTTAACCATTCCATATGATAAGCACCCACTTTATTTCCGGTTGTTTTTTGTTCTGTTTTGTTTTGTTTTGTTTTGCTACCACAAAAAATTACACTTTATTCTGATACATCTAGGACCTTTCTTTTTGTCTTTAAACTCATTAGTGTATAGCAAGTAGTATGATATCTGGGTCAAAGTTTTTTTCCCCCTTCAGTTTAATGACTGTTCTTGCTTATTTCTAACGTACTTTCTAAAATAATTAGCTTCCAGTAGTCTAGTAGTGTGCCTGTCTTCCAACAGCACATCCAGCATTGATTATTTCACTCTTCAGTCATATTTGAGGGATTTTTTGAGGGGTGGGAGGATGAAGTAAAACTCAGTAGCTACCCTAAAAATCTTTCATGTTGTTGAAAATGTGCCACTATCCTTTTGAAAACTTTTTTATATCCTCTGACCATTTGTCTTTTGGAGAAAGCCTCCTGCTTAAATGTTTCTGTCAGTTACCTGCATATCTTTAATACTAGACTTTTATTAGGGATAATTTCTGCAAATATTTTTCCCTATTCAACTATCCCTTAGTTGTTTTATCAATTTTGTTTGTATAAAAGCTTTTAATATTTTATATCATCTGAACTCTATTTTCTCTTTATGATGTCTCTTGGTTTGGATAAAAATTCTCTCTCAGCTATAGTTGCAAGAGGTATATCTTACCATTTGCTTCTTTTTAAGATTATCTTTTGTATATTCATTTAGAACTCATTGTAGTATATGAGATAAGATGCTGGCCTAAATATTTCATTGTTGAACAGAGTCCTTCCCCTTTTAAGTTGTTGATAAGTTTATAAAACACTGGCTTACTATGTTTGATTGTTTCTTGTTCTTGCCTGCCCTGCAACATTAATATACTTTTTAAAAATGTTAATGAATCAGTGAAAAAACATTAAGTTCATACTATGTGCCAAGAGCTGTGCTAAGTATTGAGGATATGGCTACAAATAAAAGCAAGTAAGTCAATTCTTCTCCTCAGGGGAATTATATTCTTGTGAGGGAAGACAGCAGATAAAGAGGAGTTACTAGTGGGAGACTGAGGCCAGTACTTAAACAGTGGCATGTTTTGGAAATGGCCAGAAAGTGGTATGGGAGGCTGATTCTAGGTAAAATCTATAAAAAGCTGCCTTTTCAGGGCTCTAGATACAAATTGAATTCCAGAGGGAAGAGGATGACCAGAGTCTCTGTAGGCCTTATTTAGAAATGTCCAGGAGGTAACCATTTAACATGTTGATAGTTTTGATGAATTTATTATTCATTAAAACCTTCCTATGGATGTGTTTACCTTTAAGTCCCTGAAAAGTACGCATGCGCCCTAGCCCAAAGGTTTATAATTGGAAGGCCTAAAATCCACTACCTCCCCCCAAATACTACGTTTAATTCACTTACCTAAAACATAAGAGTGGTGATAAAAGAATGTCACTAATTTCTAAAACTTTATTTGTCAAGCACAGTTTTTTCTTTGGTAAATAATAAATTCTATGAATCTTGGTTTTATTTAGGCATAATATAGGCAAATAAATGTAAATATCTTATTATCTTATATTTAATTTAGGACTAATCTGGGCAGAAAGCCGGGTATTACACATGCTCCACGTTATGCTGAGCAGTTAGCTGAAACTTCTTTTTTGTTTTGTTTTTACTGTAGGGGGATGCTCGAAGCCTTCTACTTCCTGAGAATGTGAGCACTGGCCAAAAATTAGACTTTTCAGACACAATGGTGCAACAGAAATTGGATGATATCAAGGATCGTATCAAACGAGAAATAAGGAAAGAACTGAAAATAAAGGAAGGAGCTGAAAATCTCAGGAAGGTCACAACAGACAAAAAAAATTTGGCATATGTGGACAACATTTTGAAAAAATCAAATAAAAAATTAGAAGAGTTGCATCATAAACTACAAGAATTAAATGCCCATATTGTTGTAACAGATCCAGAAGATCTTACAGGTATTGTACATAACTTGAAATATTTCCTAAATGTGTATCAGATAAATTTTACCTAAGAAAGTTAGTAATCATTAATTTGTAATTTATAGCTACATAGTAATGAAATTGTGGTAGATAAATTTTGCTTTCTGATATTCAACAGGCATTTAGGGTTACTATATGTTAGGGAGCTATGCTATGTGCTGAAGAAACAAAAATTAAATAAAATACATTCTTGCTGTCAAATGGTTATAATTTAATAGTAATCTAATTGTTTAAATCTCTTTTTTAAACTTATAGTGAGCTAAGATGTGAGATGTTTTCTTTCTGATGTGTAACTGAGGTTAGAGCTTTTGAGTTAATATTTATATTCCATTAAAAGTGCCTCCTACATCTCTTGCACATTTGGAAGGGCCGGGATTTTATAAAGAGGCAATAATAAGAATCTTTTTAGTCTCTTAAATAAAGTTTGGGCCTTAGAACAAACATAATACATTGCAAAGCTCAGCTTTTTTTTTTTTTTAAATTTCAAAGCTACTGAAAAGGCTTGCAATATTCAGCATCCCTTTTAAAATTTGTTTTCAGCATATTTTTGTATTTAAATTTTGAAAATTATTTTTAAAATTGCATGTAAGAATAATGGAATTTTAAACCTCTATAGGACTTTTGAGATCACCTCATCTGTTTTCATTTTACAGGTGATAAATCAGATTCAGAGAAGTTATGAATTACCTGAGATCACAACTGCTCATTAGTGGCAGACCTGGGTCCAGAAGCAAAACCTTTTGTTTTCCTAGTCCAGTATTTTTACTACATTTTCAGTAATTGACATTACAGATAAAACTTATATTGTGAAAATGCTATTTTTAAGAATAACATATAAACTTAGAAAATAGTCTAATCAGTTCACTTTCTTTTTCTTTTTTCTTTTTTTTGGGGGGGGGACAAAAGAGTAATAGTTGAGGTATGGCAGTCACATTTCTCAGGAGAGACAGGATGGGAGCAGTAGATAGAAAAAGCCAGGGTGACTTGGGTTCAAGTCACATTTTAGGCAGGTCTTTTAACCTATCAGTATCCTAAGTAACTCTAGAACTTTTGGGGAATGGTTCCCAAAGCTGAATGAATTAAGTCTGCCATGGTTTGTGTCTGAAAGTCCAGTTCAGATGGTCATTATTACTAATGGAGAGAAGAGGTACCGCACTAGGGTAGGTGGCAAAATGGCCACTTAGGGTAGATGGTTAGATGGGATAGAGAGAGTATTTATAACATTAAAGCCATGTCACATGAGACTTCGCAAACCATATGTCTTCAGTTTCTCCTAATGGTAGTCCATGCAGATTATGAAGCTTTACTGTAATGTACATAAGATACTGTCTTTTCTTTAAATAGTTCTTATTGTGCTCATAGAAAATTATAGAATTTTAAATCTGCAAAAGACATTAGAGAATCAGAACTTAATCTCCCATTTTATAGAAGAAAATACTGAAGTGTAGAATGGTGAAATGATTTTGCCCTTCTTTCATGGTAAAGCTGGGACCAGAACCCTCGTATCCTTAGGCCCGTCTCAGAGCATTTGAGTAATCCCACATAGAAGCTGCCAAGATAATTATGACTGACCACACTTCCTGTTTCTATCTATCTTAGCCACTGGTAGCGTCTGAGACATCTAAGGGGAATATGTTGAGAAATACTAATATTGTGAACCTTATTCCCAAAGCATATCACCTCAGAAAATGAGGCTGAGAATGCATTTGACGTGTTCTGTCAATGTTGCCCTCATGATAGAGATCAATATTAATTTAGGTTAAATTCATTCCTTGCTCCCTCTACTTTCCCAAACCCCACAACAATTAGAATCAATGTCATACCCTTTAGATCAGTCTCTGACAATAAAATAAAATATAATTCTGGAAATTAGGAAGTTAATGACCCAGCATAATCCTGCTTTACCTAACAGTGTTCCCTCACTTAAGCTGCCTTCATTGTGCTGATTTTTCCTTCACTGCTTTTTTTTAATCCTGCTTTATAAAAGTGAGATGGCAGTTAATACCTTCCAATTGTCTTGTTCGTGATTATCATAGAAATCTTAAAATTTATAGGTAGTGTGAAATTTTGGTTTTAGATTTTTGCCTCTTAATGTTCTGTGTAGTTTGTTGATATTTAACAATTCAGTATACATCTACTCTAGGTTTTTGTGACACTGCTCTCTCAGTACTCCTCCAACCTGTCTGATCAGTCCTCCTCATTTTCCTTTGCTGTGTCTTAATTCAGTCCTCTCTCACTAACTGTGAGTGCCCTTAGTCGTCTTCTGTTCTCTTTCTATACTTGATGATCTCATCAGCTATCATGGATTCAGTTGTCATCTTCATGCAGATGTTTTCTAGATATATTGATCCATCCTCAACCTCTCTTCTGACCTCCAGTCACACTTCTCCACCTGTCTTTTGGATATCTCAAACTGGCTATGTCACAAACATCTTAAAATCAACATGATCTAAATTAAACTCTGTCCCCTCTTCCAAATTTCTCTGTTATTGTTGTTGAGGGCACCATCATCCTCTCAGCCCCCCAGCATCACAATCTAGATGCTATCCTCAACTCACTTGTGCTCACACCAGATATTGAATCTTCTGCCAACTCCTGTTGTTTCGACTTTTACAAAATCTCTCATTATGTCCCATTTTCTATACACACAATTGCTTACCCTGGTATAGGGCTTCATCACCTCAAGTCTGGATTATTCCAGTAGCCTTCTGGTTGGTTTCCCCATCTCAAGTTTCTTCCCACTTCATGCATCTTCCACTCAACTGCCAAAGTGACTTTCTTAAAGTTCAGGTTTGACCATATCATTTTCCCCCACCCCATCTCAGTAAACTCCAATGATTCCCTATTACTTTCACGACCAAATATAAAATCTTCTGTTTGGCATTTAAAGCCTTTCAGGTAGGTCCCTTCCTACTATTCCAGTGTCCTTTTTTTTTTTTAATTTATTTTTATTTTTCAACATTCACTTCCACAAGATTTTGAGTTCCAAATTTTCTCCCCATCTCCTCCCTCCCCCCACTCCAAGATGGCATGCATTCTTTATACCCCTTCCCCTAATCTGCCCTCCCTTCTATCTCACCCCCCTTTCTCTTATCCCCTTCCCCTTCTAGTTTCCTGTAAGGTAGGATAGATTTCTATATCCCATTTCCTGTATTTCTTGTTTCCCAGTTGCATGTGATAAACAATTTTTTTTTAACATGTGTTTTTAAAACTTGGGGTTCCAAATTTTCTCCTTTCTTCCCTCCCCACCCACCATCATTGAAAAGGCAAGCAACTTGATACAGGTTATACATGTGTAGTCATGCAAAACACTTCCATAGTAGTTGTATTGTGAAAAACTAAGTATATTTCCCTTCATCTTATCCCCCCCATTTATTCTATTCTCTCTTTTGACCCTGTCCCTCCTCAGAAGTGTTTGCTTCTGATTACACCCTCCCCTCTATCATCCCCTTTTTCTCTTGTCCCCTTCCCCCCCACTATTTTCCTGTAGGGTAAGATAGATTCCCATACCCAATTGACTGTCTGTTATTCCCTCCTTAAGCCAAATCCGATGAGAATAAGATTCACTCATTCCCTCTCACCTTCCCCCGTTTCCCCTCCACTGTAAAAGCTTTTTCTTGTCTGTTTTATGTGAGATAATTTACCCCATTCTACCTCTCCCTTTCTCCTTCTCCCAGAATAATCCTCTCTCGCCACTTGATTTTATTTTCCAGATATGACCCCTTCATCTTCAACTCACCCTGTGCCATCTATCTTATCTATCTATACATACATGCATACACACACACACACATATATACATACATATAATTTTTTTCCTCTAACTACCTTAATACTGGCAAAGGTCTCATGAGTTACAAATATCATCTTTCCATGCAGGAATGTAGACAGTTCAACCTTAATAAGTTAAGTCTCTTATGATTTCTCTTTCCTGTTTACCTCTTCATGTTTTATTTGAGTCTTGTATTTGAAAGTCAAATTTTCTATTTAGCTCTGGTCTTTTCATCAAGAATGTTTGAAAGTCCCCTATTTCACTGAATGACCATTTTTCATTTTTTCCCCTGAAGGATTATACTCAGTTTTGCTGGGTAGGTGATTGTTGATTATAATCATATTTCCTTTGCCTCCAGAATATTATATTCCATGCCCTCTGGTCCCTTAATGTAGAAGCTGCTAAATCTTGTGTTATCCTGATTGTGTTTCCACAGTACTTGAACTGTTTCTTTCTGGATGCTTGCAATATTTCTCCTTGACCTGGGAACTCTGGAATTTGGCTACAATATTCCTAGGAGTTTTCCTTTGGGTTTCTCTCTTAGGAGGTGATCGGTGGATTTTTTCCATTTCTATTTTGCCCTCTGGTTCTAAAATATCAGGGCAATTTACCTTGATAATTTCTTCAAAGATGATGTCTAGGCTCTTTTTTTGATCATGACTTTCAGATAGTCCAATAATTTTTAAATTCTCTTTCCTGGATCTATTTTCCAGGTCAGTTGTTTTTCACTGAGATATTTCACATTGTTTTCTATTTTTTCATTCTTTTGGTTTTGTTTTTACAGTGTCTTGATTTCTCATAAAGTCAATAGCTTCCAATTGCTCCATTCTAATTTTTAAGGAAGTAATTTCTTCAGTAAGCTTTTGGACTTCCTTTTCCATGTGGCCAATTTTGCTTTTTTAGGGTATTCTTCTCGTCATAGGCTTTTTGGACCTCTTTTGCCGTTTGGGTTAGGCAATTTTTCAAGGTGTTATTTTCTTCAGTATTTTTTTTTTTGGTCTCCTTTAGCAAGCTGTTAACTTGTTTTTCATGATTTTCTTGCATCATTCTCAGTTTTTCCTCTACTTCTCTTACTTGCTTCTCAGAATCCTTTTTGAGCTGTTCCATGGCCTGGGGACCAATTCATATTTTTCTTGGAGGCTTTGGATGTAGGAGCTTTGACTTTGTTGTCGTCTTCTGGTTGTATGTTTTGATCTTCTTTTTC